CACTTCTTCAGAAAAAAAGCCCCACAGACACAAGGTTTCATGGAGTTATACTGAGGAAAGGAGGGTTTATCCTTCTTGGATTTACAAACTGGAGGTTTATGCCAATAAGCAGGCATCCATCAGAGGAACATACCCTTCATATGGAGCATCTCTGAAATCCAGACTTTCACTGAATGTCTGCACAACACACAATGCCGTCCATACAGTGAACTCACATTTTTAGCTATTATAGATGGCACAGGATTTTGCAATGCCTTTAATCATACAATTATGATGGATAATGAAGTATTTATGTGAATTACACATGAGGGATTAAAATCTTCTGGTTTTCTTTCCATTGCGTTGATAAATCAAGTCATAATAATTTTATTAACTGAAGACAATAATCTCCTTGCAGCATTCTATTAAAGATGCCAAACAAGTACATGAACAGTCATCCAACACTAAATTCAAAAGCTAAAAATTAAAATGCTTTTAAGAGTAAAAATGTCTGTTAATAATTTAATTAAAAATACATTCTATATATTACAAACATGTCAAGATCAAAGTTTAGAAATGAAAGACACTCAGAGTTAAAGTTAAACCCACAAGAATATCACATACGTAAAACAGAACATGAAAACCATCCTAACTCTATATTATTCTGCTTGTATACAAGAAACAGGTGCATTTTACCTGCTTTATTTTTCCAAAGCTGTGCAAAATCCCTGTAATCTCTCATTTCCTCTGCCATTCAAACACCATTTTCCACATTCCCATTTTTCCCGCGTAAAAACTCCTTAAATGCTAGTTTTTCTCCTCTACTGAAGTTAAATGTGAGGATATAATGTTCACTACAGTGCCTCAATTTTCGAGTGAAAATTTATCTTTCACCAGGAGGCAGTGATGCATACAATCTCCATCAGAGTACTTCAAAATGAACAAAATCTTCATTATTTCTAATGGGACTATAGAAATATGCTTCCTCTACAACCTCATCTGCTATAGCGAGGTAAGGACTATTGAGTAACCAGTATATGAAGAAACAAGACGATGTGACAGCTACTTCAAAACAACAATCCTTCATGAAAGGTTTAGAACTGAAATGTTAATTCTTCTGTAACATTGAATAAATAACTTTCAATTAGTTCAGCTAGAAAGACAGTGCTGATGCATTTGAATACATATAAAATGTGCAAAAAACTGTGAATAATGTAAGCAGTCTGAAATTTTTCTTATAGACATCATTAATAAAATAAAACATAATATTGTGGCACATTTGAGATCACTTTTGTATGAATATTAGCTGTTTAACAGAACTAAGATTTACAATAGTATGCTTTTAGAAAACTCACACAGGAAGTACTCTAATACTGAGGAAAATTGATTTCATCTTTGTAGGAGGCAGAAAAAAGATCAATTTAAATTTGCCATCTCAATTTTAACAATGTATTTTCAAACATTGCTTCTACAATTATTTTGCAACAAAACTTTATGTCCAATAATAACTTAAATTTACGTTATCTTAATGTCCAGTAATAACTTAAATCATCACACAATCTGTCTATTGAAACTGTCCTTTTAGCACACTGTGTTTTCACTTTTTGCACATTCGCCCCTCATTTACACTCCCAGAATGGACCTAAACAATGATGTTAGAAAAGGTTACTTTTTAATTACTTTATATTCAAAGACAAAATAAACATGCCTATCAGTTTGGTCTTGTTGTTTTGTATAAACCATTTCCTCATAGAGTCTTCTTAAAAATCTACCAGTTAGTTCACCTTCACAAACACATGTCTGGGTATACCAGAGAGAAACTTCATGTATATTTAATTTTTACAAATTAGGAAAAAGTGTACCTTTTTGAACCTAGCCAATAGGTAAAACCCTTCACCAAAGCATGAACGTATTAAAGCTTCAAACCAAAACAGATGTACGATTTCCATCAGTAGCAAGAAACCACTCTATTCTCTTCCCCTGCATGCGGAAAACAGGTGAGTAATTTATGGAAAACACTCAAAAAAACTTCAGGCAAAGGCAGACATCTACTGTGCAAAATTTCAGCCCAAAGAGTTTGGCAGGTTTATATAAACAATTGAAAGAAGGTTTTATAATACAGTGTTAGGCCATTTTTATTGTAGAAAACCCTCCCAACTCTGCCAATAACATACTAATGCACATTGCATCAAATTTGGCTTTGAGTTAATAGCTACACCAAATTTACATTACTGTAACTAAAAGCAGAAATTGACCCTCCAAATATGATGTACTCCTCTGAGATCTTCTTAGGCCTTTACAGCAGTGAACACCATTTACTATATACTTGGACAGAGTCCAGCAAAATAAAGCCTAATCTGGTTGTGGCCTTTAGGCACGACTGCAATATAGATGTAATAATAATAATAATAATAATAATAATAATAATAATAATAAGATGATGATGATGATGATGATGATGATGATGATGATGATGATGATGATGATGATGATGATGATGTTATAGAATTGTAACCTATTCTCTTCAGCATGTAGTAATGAACTACATATTTGGAAAGAGCTTGTGTTTTCTGTTTTTTGCTATCAGGAACTATTCATTTACAGGCACCTTTGAGGCCGTAGTTTAGATACAGTTCTCTGCTGGTAACAGGCATGCACAGTTCCCCTTTGTAAAACAGTACAGGTCCTCTTATTTCCCTCTAAAATCACAGAATCACAGAATGGTAGGGGCTGGAAAGGACTTTTGGAGGTACCTAGTCCAACCCGCCTGCCAAAGCAGGTTCACCTAGAGCAGGTTGCACAGGAATGTGTCCAGGTGAGTTTTAAATATCTCCAGAGAAGGAGACTCTTGGGGCAACCTGTCCTCAAAGTAAAGAAGTCTTTCCTCATGTTGAGATGGAATTTCCTGTGTTCCAGCTTGTTCCCGTTGCCCCTTGTCCTGTCAACGGGCACCACTGAAAAGAGTCTGGCTCCGTCCTCTTGACACCCACACTTTAGATATTTATAAGCATCGATAAGATCCCCTCTCAGTCTTCTCTTCTCCAAGCTAAACAGACCCCGGGCTCTCAGCCTTTCCTCATAAGAGAGGTGCTCCAGTCCCTTGATCATCTTCGTAAGCCCTTTGCTGGATTCTCTCAGTAGTTCCTTGCCTTTCTTGAACGGGGAAGCCCAGAACTGGACACAGTACTCCAGATGTGGCCTCGCCAGGGCAGAGTAGAGGGCGAGATTAATATTCTTTGACCTGCTGGCCATGCTCTTCTTGATGCACCCCAGGAGGGAACATTGCTGGCTCATGGTCAACTTGTAGTCCACCAGGACTCCCAGGTCCCTCTCTGCAGAGCTGCCTTCTAGCAGGTCAACCCCTAACCTGTGCCAGCACAGCCATCTGGTGTGTCAGCCACTCCTCCCAGTTTTGTGTCATCAGCAAACTTGTTGAGGGTACACTCTGTTCCCTCATCCAGGTCGTTGATGAATATGTTGAACAAGACCGGACCCACTACCGACCCCTGCGGAACACTGCTAGTTACAGGCCTCCAACTAGACTCTGTGCCACTGATCACAACCCTCTGATGATGGAACAAGATACTGATGACTGGAAGAAGAACTGATTAAAGCCTCTGGCAAGTGGACACAGCAACAGTGGCTTAAAGCATCTCAACTTGTTCCTTTTAGTCTCATGGTTCAAAACATATAAATTGAGCTAAACTGGTCATTGTCATTGGCAAGGAGTGGTGGTTCCAAAATAAACCTAGACTGTTGATTTAAGAGTAGGGGTCCTAACATTTTATTTTTGGTAGAGTGCGAAGGTCTCTCTATTTTCATTGGCTAACTCTAAGCACTCTATTTTTTTAAATGACCCCTTCAATGAATTTATTTAACATGGTTTACCAATATTTCCAAATTCAGCATGGAAGAGCCATCAGAATGATGCTAGGTCATGGGCCCTGAATGAAGCTGTCAACAAGCATTAATAAACTCTGACAGCTGCCCAAAGGCTTTCATTCTTTTTGTTTAAACATCAGATTGCAAGTCAAAATACAGTGTAATCTCTGTTGAAACTAGCTCAGCTAGCATGGCAGAAGTCAGAATGAGAATAGATGTCAGTAGTCGTTAGGAAAAAATCCAATCTAGAGCAGTAAATCTTATGGACAGATGCAACAACTCTTGGGCAGACACCAGAAATAGTCTAATATAATAAGCTCTCTTCACTTTGTACAAACCTGCACAAAATATATTATTTTGAAAAAAGGCATACAAAATTCACTTTTTTTCCAGTACATGTCCTGTAAATTAATAATTAAAATATTCTTCTCTCCTCTTTAAGATCTGCATAGATTTTGCCTTGTAATTGAGAAACACTCTTTTACTATTCTTAATCTAAAACTAGGTTTCAGAACTTTGTCTGAAACTACTGATGTACAGACATCTTCTTAAAATCAAAATTCACATGTTCAGACACAGTAGCACTGGACTTATCTATTGCAACACTGACCGTCTGTGCTTTTCTGTTAGACAGAAGAGTTTATCAGACTGAACAGCAAAGTCCTTTAAAGCTAAACAGTTATGCAAGTATATAACTGAATACCAGGAGAGTAATTCAAAGTCAAAACAGCAAGGTCACTAGGAAATATGAACTTTTAGAAAACCCTTTTATTAAGGCAACATTTTTTCTACATTGCTTGTATGATCCAGCTTATATCTGAAGGAATAAAGATTTTTTTAACTTCTAACAAAATAACAGAGTTCAGGTTCTAGATCTATGTTGTACATTTTCAAAGTCCCTGCCAGACCTAGAGTTGTAACAGTCCTTTATGGAAGAGTGTTAAAAAATTTAATAAAGATTAAAGTACAGAGGTTTTTTTAAAAAAGACTCAAAAAATATAGAGAGAGTATGTAACAGGGTGGGCTTTTTTTGATCCGGGCTATAGAATGTTACAGCGAAGATAAATGTTTTATTAAATTACATATATAAAATAATTGTGAAATAATTCTTGAGGACACTTCCATTAGGATACAAATGTATTCTGAAATAATAACTCTTTTTCTGAACTCATAGTTGCTTCTCAGTTCCATAACTTAAAATTTTCTAGTTCTTTCTTCCTGTAGCCTTTCAACAACAAATTGCCTCTTTAAACAATAAATATAAATAAAATTTGTACTCACCCCCTTTTCGATGCTCCCTGTTTGGCAAAGAGTACCTTCAGCTGCTGGAATGCTGTTCGTAACACAGCGGTTACTTTTGCTGAGGCACCAGAGCTCTCTACACACTTCCTAGGAAAGAAGGCAGAAGCAAGTTGATCAGAATAAAAGCCTAAAATTGCTTCCAGTCCTCATACACACACATATACACAAATTTATTTTGAAAAGAATACTATCAAGAACTGGGTTCAAGACATAAATCTATAGATGGTTGTGAAACATTGTGGAGCAATTTCAAAGCCACCATATTTTACCTAAGAATATTCTGCCAAAAAAAATTCTGGAAGCATGAAACTGTAGACTACAAGAATGTGTTTTTTCACACCTGCCATGCAAGTAATGTTTTATAGTTGCTTTTTTCTGGATTAGCACTAATTCTGGGCTTAGTGTATTTTAGTGTTGCTGTCAAAGTAGTCTTCAGATGTGCCGTAGTATCTCCATTACTGTCAGTATCTGCTTCAGAATTACACAGTAAAAGGATACTATTAATTTTGAAATATGAAGCAACAACAATTATTTTTGTTTGCTTTAGTTAAAACCAAAGTTTCTGAGCTCAGACTACTTGCATTCCTTTTCTGTAACACTCGCTAAAACAGTGCACGTGTATTTAGTACTAATTCAGCTATGTACTAAAATACTTCCTTTAAGCTTTTTAGATTTGCAGCTGATATTTCATAAATTATTTAGCCTATCCCATTTCCCTAACTTGTCAGTGTTAAACAAACATAGGTTTTCAAATCATCTTTCTTCCTACCATATTTTCTCATTTGGTTTTCACATTTACTCATTTAAACTAAGCCAGTTCTGTTGACATCGGAGATTCATTGTTAAAACTACCTAAGGGTTGAAATTCATAATGTGGGCATGATCCAAAGATTGTTGAACACTGGAAATCTTCCTAGTTGCTTCAGTTGCCCTTGGATTTGGCGATGTATGCAGAATGGAATCGGAAGTGTTTTGCTTTTACAGTAAATGACTTACATGATAATCTTTGTTATATTACTTTGAGACCTGTGCAAGAGTTCACAACCTGCTTATAGATATTTTCTAATTTTAAGTATTTTTTAAAATTTGAAAGATACTCAGATCTTTAAAATGACATTATGATAGTCATTACTATTTCATTTTATTTAACTGCTGCTTGAAATCATACCCTACAAATAATCCTCATATAGATTTTATTGGCTGAACCTCGGTACAAAGAGCAAAAAGGAAAAGACAGCATAAGTAAATTAAAGTTATTAGGTGTCCCCTCCCCTTCCCCCCTCCAAAGTTCATTGCTTCTCTGAGGAAATGAATAATCATCTGGCACCTAGGCTATCTTTTCTATACACATCAATGGGAACAACTGTTAAGTTTTACCCTAAGGTTCATGTTTCTTGCATTGTACTGCATATACAAATGGATTTATTTATATCTTGTTCACTATCAGCTGCAGGAACAGCTCAACAGTACAAGCTTTTCTTAAATAATGCAAAATTATTTCCAAGTTTAAAATCAGCTGATACCATTATTACAGGATTGTTAATACAGCGTATTAATTTTCATGATTGGTAGAAGCAAGGTATCTTTTTAAAAAAAACATTAAAAACATGACATATTAGAATGGTCTGAAATGATGAGCAATGAGTACTGATGATTTCTGGAGTTTCCATCCAATTTTTCACAATTAGGCCTAAGCTATTTTGTCCTATTTGGTGGGTGGCTCTATGAAAACTTAAGCAAATTGTTAAGCCTCTTTTAAGGAGAAATATTGCCACTTGTAAAAGCATACCTGGAGCCAATGTAGAACTATCTTACTTTTCAGATTAGAAATTTGCATTGAAAAATGCAAACAGTATAAATAATTACTTACTTATATTTCTGAATAAAACACTTGCTTTTGCCACTCAGCGGATAAAATTTTCAGAGTAAGATACGAACTCACAAATAAATATATGGCTTAAAATATCAAATATAACAGGGAAAGAACAGAAGATACATCACAAAGAATCTTGAAAAATCTAACTAATTATGAATTTCACAGCCATTAGGTGCTACAATTCCACACTAAACAAAATTCACATCTAAATCAACATGAATCCAAACTTCAATACAGTATGGATTTCAAAGTGAAAACCTAAAATAGGTTCCTTTCAGACTCAGTATGTGGTGCTCCTGTCATAATCCTGCCTTACTGACTTTTACATTTAATTTACTTGCTCATTTTGTTGAGCAAAATTAGCATAATATACTTGCTTATGTTTCACGTGTGATTTACATTGCCAAATCGTAATTGTAAGTGTCAGACTGGGATGATTCTACTTGTGACCTTGTCTTTATTTTGCATCTGATCAAGTTCAAATGTTTAAATTAATAGCTGTGCTGACTTTGTGAAGTTTGGTTCAATGTTCTGAAAAGCCAAAATTTCAATTGCAGCACAAAACAAAGATCTCAACCATTCCAATAAAGATAGAAGCAAACAATCCGATCTGAATAACAGTCTGGAATTTGAAAACATCTTATTTCAGGGTGATCTGAATCCAGAATTCTAGTTTGTGCTCCAGAGTTTACATGCAGAATTTCACTTTTGATATTCTTACACAAGTATACCATCTATATATATTAACATATGTGGGGAAGTAATAATTAAAACATGTATTTCATTGCCAGGCTAACATCCACAAACAAGACTATTTAACAATTTCCTTCTGATAGGATTCCTTCTGTATAGTCAGGATTCTTCGTGGTACCAGACTCCTCCAAATTCACTGAACTAACATCACCGAGACACTTTAAATCTAAACAAATAATCATATGAACTGTGTGAATTGATGGATGCAAAACTATTTTAGTCATTCATCTGTTTGCAGGATGATTCCAAGCACGTCAGCACAGCTCACCTCCCTACTCCACAAAATGAGAAAAATATTTTCCTTCTTCCTAAATTCCCTTTGGGAGATAGAATGAAAAGCACTGTATCAAACCTAAATATTATTACTGACATAGCCTAATAGTCCTTATTCAGACTTTTAATCTCAGCAGGAGTTTGCCTCAGTAAATCCCTAAAGACAAAATGAAAGTGATGTAAAAATGGGCAGTATCATACTATTAATATTTGAGAAAACATCTGCTTAAATCAGAAAGGAGTTTTGCTTGAGACAGACATAAAATATCCAAAAGAAATGGATTATTTCCTTATGGAGAACTGCAAAACACAGAGGATTTATTAACTAAAATAACACAATGTATCAATTTGTAGATGTAATTCATATTAAAAACAAGAAATTAAAGTATTTTTGTAATTGCTTTTAAATATAGCCAAACTTATTTAAGGAGTTGTTTATTTTCCCATGCTGCTTTGCATTTAAAAGAAAGAGTAGAATCTGAGGTACATTCTCCATCACCCTGTACATGAAATGAAAAATAACATTAATAGTCATCTGAAAACAAATAAGATATCTAAAAAGAAGTGGAAAATCCATCTGTGCTGTTATTTCATTAAATGAAAATTGAATTATGCCAGGTACTACTATGGCTATGTCTTCTTTATTTTCAGCTGATTTTGGAAAGTTAACAGGGAAACTCTGACTAAGGTGCATAAAGCTTTCTGTTCTCCAGCTCAGCCCTATACCTAGTACTACCTTAGTTTCACAGTTATCAATTTATTTCCTTACTACCACCATCCTATCTGTGACATGTCTAAGCAACTGTTTTTAATAAGCCAGCCTGAAAAACGTATGAGGACCTGCCCTAGAAGGATCAGGCCCAAAATCACTAGTAGGAAGTATACTGCTTTTTTCACACACTGACAGCCTTTTCTTCATTGGAGGACACAGGATGAAACTAACATATCTTTTGCCAACATTAAATTTGTGTGAATAATTTACTGAAACTAAGAGAAAGAAGAATAATATGAAAATAAATCAATGACCTTTAAGTCAGTATCCAAATGTGTGGATTTAATAACTATTAATTTGTAAAGCAAACAAGGGAAAGTGTTTTAAAAATCCAGGAAACATAAACTGAAGCTGAGGCCTTTCACAAGATCAAGACAAGATAGATGACAACCTGTAACGGTGTATCTTAGGGCTCCATGACTTCAGTTTGGAATTCGGATGCTTGTATTTGCAGTAAATTAAACAAAGCTGAACCCATCTAGAGAAAAAAAACAGCAAATCAAATTATCTTGCTTTTGCCTAAGTGTTATCAATGATGGAGCCTCTTTCTGTTGTGTCATGCAGAGTTACATATAGGCATTTCAAATTATGTAACATCTAAGCATCCTATATCACAATAATCAGAAATGGTAACAATACAGCACAATGAAAACTCAGTAATATGAGCAAAGTTCAAATTGCTGTGCTGTTCCTAAAGTTTTCAACACTAATGAAAGCCTCCAACAAAAGTTAGCAGTTTGGCCCATAATATTAAAAAAGTAAGATGGGAAATACATTCACAATGCATATTAAACTATAATTTGGGAGATTCATTTTTTTGTTCATAAATTAAAAAGTTAATCAGGATTTTATGTTATTTCAGCACGTTTAATCTATAATATGCTGCATCTCTTGATGAGCATTTGCTAAAATAGAGCATAAAAATAATTAGCTTGAATTGTACCTTACAATTCAGACCTGAAAAGCATCAACCTAGAGTATTTTCAGCCTCACTGCTGAAATACTGCTGGAAACACAACTGAATCTAAAATACTTTAATTATGGGTGAACTTCAGAAGGTTCAAAGTTTAGTTCAGATAAGCACCCAAAACTAACCATTTTAGTGCTCCACTACCAAATGCTCATTAAGTGGTGCAGCATGTTATGAATCACAACATGCTGAAAGAATGTGAAATAGAATCCGAAGCTTAAGTCGTACATTCGTATTACGTTACCAGCATTCTTTCCTAAATATTGGGTGCTTATGTGAACCTTATGGAAACTACAGAAGCCCCAACAAGGTCAATCACCTCCAAGTAGCATCTTCCCTTTCAAACCCATGCAACCTATGCCATCCTTATTCAAACCACATTCCAGTATCTGGAATCTTATTATTGCTTCTACTATAATCTAATGCACTCCTGCTTTGATCAC